GTAGACGTGCGAGAGATCACTTTCGGCGTAAAGTTGGATACGGTTCAGTTGAACATCTGATTCAGATCAGTTCGACGGCTGTTAACAAGAGGTAAAAACGATATAAATACTGTTCGTTTTCTCACACAAACCGCTCATTTCGTGTCTTAGGCCATCAATGTGTACTTACATTGACGAGTCATTAAATGATGTTTAATTTTGACTTCTCTGTGCATGCTCTTCGAGGTGAACCCCCTAAAACTGCATTATGACTGACAGACAACAACGGTTTGACCGAAAAATGTCAAAATTGAAAATGCTGTGGAAACAAAGACACCTACATCTTAGATGCCCTTGAGGTAAGCTAAAACTTATCAAAAATGAATTTCAAAGTGAACTATCCCTTTAAAGGAAATGAGACCAAGCCCTATGAATGTTATTACTTGTGTTGCCACTGTTGCTTTGATCTGAAGCCAAAGTAAATTAAGTCATTAATTACTCACCCCCATGCTGTACCAACCCCGTAACGCCGCCTTCACACTGGCAGTTGAAATCAGCTCCGATGCGGCTGCGAAACGACCGGAAGTCATTCATTTCCTATGGAGATTCGCAGACCGCATGGGAATGGGTCCGAAACGGGTCCGACCGAGTGCGGTGCGAAGAAAATCGTGTCCGTTGGTCATCCGGATGCGTTCAAAAATTTGAACTCCTGCGAAAAGCTACGGACGGTTCCTATCCGACAATTCCAGCGGAAGTTGACCGTTGCTATGGTACTGATAAACAAACCTGAATTATTAACTTTTAATAAAATAAATATTGATTTTATAACGATAAGTTGTGATGTCATTTTTTATTTTCATGACTTTCTAACGTTTATAAGGGCAGTTAATACAATTAAATTGAAGGTAGACATTGAACTATTGACCACTATATCACATTTTTTAGCCGACCTGACATTTCAACGTCCTGGGCAACTTTCCTCACGCAGCATAACCCTAATCAGAGAGATCATACAGACCTGACAGAATCAAACTTTAATCTCTCCGCCATTTTTGTTCTACCCGCGTCCGACGCTTTTCACTGTGTAGTACGACGTCCGTTGGGAACGTATTGTATTACGGAGCTGATTTCAACTGCCAGTGTGAAGGCGGCGTAAGACCTTCGTTCATCTTCGGAACACAAATAAAGATATTTTTGATTGAATCTGAGAGCTGGATCAGTCCTACATAGGATGCCTAAGGGACTGGCTCTTGACGGCCAATAAAGTCATTAAAGAAAAGGTTTAAATATTCCATGTGCCTACAGCGGCTCAATTATAAGTTAAAAAAACATAAATAACGACTTAATTCGACTATTCTATTACTTCCTTATGGGCGCATGCGCGAGAACTGAGACGAGGACGTTCTTCTCCTTCGACTACTTTTTGTTACCGGCTGCTCCGCTTAGGAGTTTTACCGCCACCTACCGTATAAAATGATGATCCATATATAAGGCGCTCCGGATTATAAGGAACACTGTCGTTTTTTTAGAAGATTAAGGGCTTTTAAGTGCACCTTGTAGTGCGGAAAATACGCTAATTGAAAAGCGTATGTACAGCGCGAATCTTCCTCTGCTTGTAAACAGAAAGTTTTGCGCTTCCAGCTATATCAGCACATCATCTTATACGGTAGGGGGCGGTAAAACTCAGAGATGGGATCAAGTCACACATGTGCAAGTCTCAAGTAAGTCTCAAGTCTTAACCGTCAAGTCTCAAGTAAGTCCCAAGTATTTTTGGGGGGGGCAAGTCAAGTCAAGTCACAGGCTATGTCAAGTCAAGTCAAGTCTTGTAGTAGGTCAAGTCACCTTATTATTGTAATTTTACATGCAGAATCTGATCTTAATAAAGTGAAAAGACAAGATAAGTATTTGCCAGTAAATTACAATAATTTGGATTTGCATTGTAAATACTCATGTTCAGTAAAATACATCATGGAATCAAACAAAATTGTAACTTAATAAAATTATTTATTTTTCACTTCTGCCAACAGTGTTTGAAATGTTTTAAATTTTCAGCAATTTGAAATGTTTTTAAATGTATCAGCAATGGCGGGGTAACATCACTTCTGTTGATGTTCAAACAAAACAGAGAGCTAGCTGGCTACTCCCTCCCATGCAATTGAAACTCTTCTAAACGTGCATCTATGGGCATCAGTTTGGTTTGAAATGGACAGAGGCGCATTCGGAAGTGCATTTGGGTACAATGACGCATTCATTTACTAGCTTACTAATTTAAAGAAATAAAAATGTATACAAAAATGAGATGATGTCCTGACTTGTTTTATGAAAAAAGCCTTAAGTTTTCAAAAAGCATTAGACATTACTCACTTACTCCCAGTAATTACTCCCAGTCAAGTTTGATAAAAATAAATTTTTAGTTTATTTTTATTATTTAAAATGCATTTAAGAAAATATATTAAAATAAACCTGATTTATTGTTGACTGGTGTGTGTTTAAAATTTGTGTTCAGAATAAAATAGAACTGTTCAAGCAAGTTGTAGAAATCCTCCCTCCGCAACGTTATAGGTTGCTACAAGACAAAGTGCAGTAATACACAAACAAAGAAACAGAGAGAAAAAGGTCTTTAAAGTTTTTATACCAGCCAGTATGTTATGGGTAGATTATGTGGTAATGCATCTCCGAAATGGGACATAATTTAACCCAGATATTTTTTCACAAGACAGAACACATGTCATAAAGCCCATTACAAGTCTTAAAACTGTAGTATACGATGTTGAAAATCGGTCGAGAGAGCCTGAAACGGGAGGGAAGTTTTGAAAAACTCATCCCGCCTCTCCACACACACCCCTCTCCCTTCTGCTACCTGATCCCTCCCACAGGGAAACGAATTGAACAACGTCACTCAATCAAGTTGTCATCATCGGAATGACACGTTTGAGATCACGCCAACGCAAGATTAGCAACACATGAAATGTTCTACACTACCCACCACCATAAGTATGATATCAATAGTAGTATTGCTAAGGTTTTGAGTAATTGTTATAGCAGCATACAGCGCATCTTTTTGAAATTCCGATCGGCTCGAACAGAAACCCGCTAGGCATACTGCAATATATTCAAGCACTTCAAGAAATATATTTACTTTGAACCGTGATACAGGTGATGCTAAACAGCTAACATTCCAATGCCGACCGGCAGCATTAGCAAGTTTTCAGACTGATAAAAAGCTATTTATGTAACACGTCACACCATATAAGAGTACAAATAAATGTTTACCTGCTCAACAAAAAGTCAGCCGTGTCAGCGTCGGTCTTCAGTCCCAGATCTCGCTGAAGTTTCCTCCATCGGTCAATGGTGAACCCTATATTTATCCTACTCAACTTTCGGCGTTCTTCACATTTTCTTTTCGTCTCTGCTTTTTCCTCAAACGACTTTCTCTTCCGTCCTAACTTTCTTGTAGGGGCAAGCAGGGGACGCTTGCTGATGTATTTTTCGTTGTTATCCATTGCTGTCTGATGTGCTACTTAGCTAGCTACCATGTGCGGTCACCTGCTAACGTGCGCGATTCTCATGACGCAGAAGGGGGGGCGCGGTCGGGCGTGGTTGGGCGCGGTCGGGGTGGAGACGCGAGCTCCAGGCGGAGTTTCAAGTGTAGCTGGTGATTGGATGAGAGCAGTTGACTAATGTAGCTTTGCGCTCGCAAAGCTTCCATTGGTCAACTTTTATGTGGCTTTACAGCCAATAGAGTGAATGGATTTTTTTCGTTCTTTTTTCTATTTATATTGTTAGGATTATACTATATAACCATAAACAGCATCTAAACGAGGATATTAACAATGAACAATCTTTGAAATCGTATACCCTAGCTTTAACTTACATTAGCTAGCTAACTACGAGCGAGCTAACCAGATAACATTAACAAATTGACAAGCACTTACTGGGCAGAATGGCTCTTCAAATAACGGACGAAATTGGAGGTTGTCGTCTGGCTGTCCGCGATCTTAACGTTGCATGTCTTGCAAAGCGCTATTCTTTTGCCATCTTGTTTTGAGAAATTCTTGAAGCCGAAAGCAACGACCCTCGGTATCCCTCCGGCTGACATGTTGATGTGATATCTGATGTAAGTGGCCGTGGTGTGCGTAAGGTATGAGAGGGCATGACTGATGATCTCGTGATCCAGTCATGACAGCGCTATTCTCAGCCTGCGCTCCAGCTGGATCAACTTTTTTTTATTTTTTTTTACATAATTTATATATTTTATATTCAAACTGAAAACATGATGTGATTAACACTCAAGTCATTCAAGTCATCGTGTCTCAAGTCAAGTCAAGTCCCGAGTCTTTAACTCCCAAGTCCGAGTCAAGTCTCAAGTATTTTATTTTTTGTCAAGTCAAGTCACAAGTCATAAAAATAGCGACTCGAGTCGACTCGAGTCCAAGTCACCAAGTCACAAGTCCCCATGTCAACGCCTAAGCGGAGCAGCCAGTAACAAAAAGTAGTCGAAGGAGAAGAACGTCCTCGTCTCAGTTCTCGCGCATGCGCCCATAAGGAAGTAATAGAATAGTCGAATTAAGTCGTTATTTATGTTTTTTTTCGCACAAAAAGTAGTCTCGTCGCTTGATAAACTTATAATTGAGCCGCTGTAGGCACATGGAATATTTAAACCTTTTCTTTAATGACTTTATGGGCCGTCAAGAGCCAGTCCCTTAGGCATCCTATGTAGGACTGATCCAGCTCTCAGATTCAATCAAAAATATCTTTATTTGTGTTCCGAAGATGAACGAAGGTCTTACGGGGTTGGTACAGCATGGGGGTGAGTAATTATAACGTATTACGAATAATTTTTGGGTGAACTAACCCTTTAAGTGTAAAATGATTTATTCTCACAAACACTGGTACAGAAAGGCAGCACATAATCTCAAACCGTGTAAATTCAGTCAATCTAAATAGAATGTTTATGGCCATGGCTTTATTAGACACAAATACTTGCCACTTTCAATAAGCATTCTCTTGGAACAGAAACAGACCTTTTGAGCAAATCAATTTACTGCGATGAGAGCTGAGATTCATGAGTACATCCATTAGTGAATATACAAATTCAGATGAGAGAAGCCACAGAGCTATTTGGTCAAGATCTGAGAAAGACAATGGGAAATCGATGAAAGTACACTTTCACTTTAAGATCGTTCATTTTCATTCATTTACATGTATTCCCCAGGTATATGTAAACATAACTTAATCGTTTAATCGGTAGAATATTATGAAGCTAAGGAAGGCCCATATCCAAAATCCACAATCTCAACTCAAAGGCAACAGCAAATCAACACTGAATGTCAACATTTGGCATTCAAAACACTTTTTTTTTTTTTTTTTTTAAAGAAAACACAAAAAGCATCCGCAGTATGTAGATTCAAGGAAGAATAGGCATCCACTATTTTGTTGCTCGAAAAGTTGATAATAAAGGACACATTATTTCAAATGACTGAAGAAATTCTAGATATTTTCACATCTGTTCATTTGTTATAATGAGTTTGTGTGGGTCAGGTGTTCCCTCTGTCGACAAGTTCAGTCATCCCAAATCAGTCTAAATCCAACAGGATCAAGGCCACTATGACAGCAGTACTCAGAAAGTCTGAGAGCAATACTGAGAACTAATATTTTCCTTCAGCGAACTCAAGTAACCCACTCTCTGTGGTCTGTGTCCCATAAGAGGATCGCACAGTTCAGCTTGTGTTCATGTGAGATGTGTGTAGGTATACGTCGCTGCATATCTGAGAGTTTCAGGTCTCCAAATGCTGCCAAAATAAACTAACATTTCAAATTCAGATAAAAATGTGCAGTTCTTTAGACATGCTCTAAAGGAACAAATCCAGTAGCAATAAAACATTCTTGAAAAAAACCCCAAAGAGATCACATATAGGTCCGGAGTCTGTGTGTGTGTGTGTGTGCGTGTGTCTTTGTGTGTTTGTGTGCGTGTGTGAAGCTGTCAGTCTCAGCTCAAACCAATGCCCTGCTGTTTGCTGAAATCTGTGCACACAAAGAAGGTTTTGAGCTCTCCTTTGCCCTTCACATTGATCAGGCCACGACACTCACATTGGTAGCCCAGCTTCTGCAGGACATCTGATGTCTCCTCTGTCACCTGCAACACAAACAGATGTCATAGAAAAACTGATCCTCATTCCATGTTTTAATGAGGGCAAATCAATAAGCTATTTGGAAAATCTAGACATGAGAAGAGAATTATCATCATAGCTGATTTAGAGATGTGAAGTACTGTAGAGCTCAATCCCAATTCACCGCTTTTACACGTTCACGTCTAGTGGTAGGGAGTCACGATTCTTGTTGAGATCGAGGGGTAGGGCTACAAAGCCCTCGAAACGGAGATTTTTCAGAGGCACCCTCCAAACGGAGGGCTACAAGAAAGTTCACAGAATGCATCGCAAATCACCGGCGAGATGGCTTCGCAAACGGTTAAACATTTAAATTTAGCGCCAGATGATACCACCATGCACTTTATTTACTCTTATAATAACACTTTAGTCGTTTAAATTAAGAAATGAGATAATAAATTACCTTTCCGAATCAGAAAAGACATACATTTCGAGGAAGGAATGTTATAATCATGGAGAAATCTTGTAAAAACTCCGTAACGGCAGAGCCATCACCGACGACTGATGACGTATCGGGTTCCTGAAGGGTTGTTCCATTTCCTAGAGGAATATTTCATCCACTTGGCCCTTGTAACTCTCTTTTAAAGGCCAAGCTTGCTCTGCATTTTTAATGACTATTTGAGCTTTTATCTTTTATCTACAGTATATTTTATGTATTTATGTACTGTGTATTGATGTTTTTTTTTTTTATCATATTATGTGTTACCACCATGGGAAGTGCAATTTAAATTGTGTTGTTCTAGGCAATGACAATAAAAGGCAATTCAAATTCAATTCAAGGGGTACACTCGAAAACATGGGGTAGGGCCAAGGGGTGAATTGGGATTGAGCCTTAGAGTTATTCAATTCCTACCTGTATTTTCCCCAGCTCTCCAGTGCTTTCCATCCGACTGGCCACATTCACAGTGTTTCCCCAGATATCATACTGTGGTTTCCTGGCTCCAATCACCCCAGCAATCACTGGGCCATGGTTTATACCTGCACAAACACACGCAGATTAATGGAAAAAACTCTTGAAACATGACATCTGCGTTTTAGTTTACTATGACTGTGCTAATAGTGCATGATTTTGGGGTTTGGGGGGAATCGAAATGCGATTTAAAATGCGCAAAAAAAAAAAAAAAAAGGTTTGCTGTGCTTGGTTACAAATTTTTTCCAGAGTTTGAGAGTATACAACGATATGATTATAAAATAATAATAATAATTAAAATGATTATTAATTTGATCACTATTATTACTAAATAAAAATATAAAACAAAATTTGAAATAGTATTATTGTAACATTTCACATAAGCTGTGCAATAATAATAATAGTACAACTGTTAAATTACAATAATAATATTTAAGGATGTCTTAATTTCTTCATTTCAAAGATGTGAACATGGTTTCCAGGTTGCGTTCACAATTGCTTGTAACATGCACACTTAGCATTGAGCTCGTGTGGAGCAGCATTAAGTGTTTTTAGCCAGCTGAAAACGCTAGATGCTCTGCTGAAAACGGCTAGCTTTGGGTGTTTGAGAGCTTTTGGGCAGCGCAGCATTTTTTCAGTTGAGACGCTTTGTTGCTATGATACAGAATATCTGCAGCACAGTTTACTTGTAACTGAGTTCGTAAATAATTTGTTTCATACTAAAAAGTTCATTTTCATCCATTTTGCTCGGTTAGCTCTGCTGGTGGATGTCGTTGTACAGAAAGAATGTTGAGACAGTTGGTCGTGTGGTATTAGCCCCGCCCCTCCTCCACTATGATTGGACGGCTGGGTAAAAAGTGACAGTGATGAGCACTGTTTCACCCAATGTTGAACATTTTTCAACTCTCGACGACCTGTAAAAAACACAGAGTGCTCAGCGCTTCAACGTGGAAGAAAAACGCTCAGCGCCTTGTTACGCTCATGACGTTTTAAAGAGCACCTATCATGGATTTTTGAAAACGACTGTTCATGTGGTGTGGAATATAGCTCTTAGGGAATGAAAACATCCTGCAAAGATTTATATCTGAAAGTGCACCATATATAAAGTTATTGTCTTTCAAAAGTGAGAGTCTATGAAATGAATTGTTTTTGAAACGAGTTATTAGCTGTTACAATCGTGACGTAGATAGGTCATTGGCCGCTCCCAACAACTGCGCGCGTACGGAAGTGTAAACTTGAAGTGACATCTAGAACACATTCAAATACTTCAGCTGAATCGCATCATGTCGAGAAGACGCTGTGTTTTACATTGCAAACACCGTTCAGCCACTTGTTTCCATTGTCCAGGGACGAGCATGTGAAGAATCAGTGGTCAGAGTTCATATTTGCAACGCCCGAACCTTGTGTTCTCATAATTTTAATGACAAATCATTCAAATTCAAAAACCTAAATTAATTCAAATGTGGATTCGCATTTCGCAAGCCGGTTGTTCCTGAAGGAGGGCTCAGTATCCAGTGTATATGGATCAGGTTCGTCCTCCTCCGAATCACAATCTGTAAGTATTATTAATAATGTTTGCTATTATGTTTTCTGTAGCATGCACAATATAGTTATATTGTGTTGTGTGTGTTGTGTACACTCCGCACAGCTTCTAAGCGGGGTAAAGTTAGTTTTGTTTTTGATATTCACCAGACATTCATTGAAAAATGGCAGTTACCTCCTAAACGACTTAGCCAAGTATGACTTCGCTAGGGCTCCAACTAACGATTATTTTGATAATCGATTAATCGGACGATTATTTTCCGATTAATCGATTAATCGGATAAAAATTGTATTTGTTTTTTTGTTTTGTTTATTATAACTAAATAAAACCCTAAATCAGGGTTGTGGTGAGCAGGGTGAGGCCTCATTGATCTGATAATTACTATTTTGTGTGTTAAACAATCTACTTAATACAGACAACTTCATTATAAAGAAAAACAACAAATAAAATATATATATGACCATAACCTATGACAAAAATGCTATTGTAAACTAGATTAGTGGATAATATAATAAGCACTGCCCTTCACAAGCCCCCACAATGTGAGTTTCGCCGGGAAAGCTCGCTCTTTATGGAGACGCGAGTAAGCGGCCGTGTGGAAAGTGCACTTTTTCTGACATGTTTGTTCAAACACTATATACAATTTTCAACACTTGACAAGCTATAATCCTGGTTATGGGCATTCCGTTGCAGACAATCTCTGCCTACAGTTTACCAATAACAACTAACTGGGTCATTTGACCAATCGCCACAGATTCGCGTCACTCAAAGGAGGTGTTTGGGAAAATGAATCGTCGAACGAATCATTTTGGGAGTCGTTGAGCAAATCAGTTAAAAATAAATGCATATTATAAGACAAATAAAGTGTTTTTTATCCTTGCATGCACGTTAAACTGTTTTGGGGAACTCCTAAAACAAAAATAGGAACATTTCAAATGCTATGATAGGGGCTCTTTAAGAAACGAGGCGCCCCCATTGAAAACAATTGAAAAAATACACCATATGCGTGAAAAAACACTTTGCTGGACACACTGGATAAAGCTGCTTGTGTGTTAAAGAACACAGTGTCTAGCTTCATTCTAAAATACACAGCACATCTATTTATTTAATTAACTCATAGTCTTTGAGTAGCCCTTGTTGCTTAGTGACAGTAAAACTGTTTTTGAACCTCAATATAATTTGACTTACAGAGTACTTGATTTCTTTTAAAGCATAAAAACAGATCCAGTGATGCAGTGAGTTTCATCCTAAAGTGACAGCTGGAATGTTGTTTTACTTTTATAATAAAGTCTTTTAGAAGGGATTTGTGTCTGTTGTTACAGTTTGATCAGATCTCAGCCACAGATGGGTGATATGTTCTCATACTCTTAAATGGAGCGTTTATGAAGAATTTCATGCCAGTTCCCTGAGCGCATCTGTTATCACTGAGCTGCTAAAGATGCCTGAGTTCTTTCTTATGAGCTGCCTTTGTTTTTTAATGAGATTTTCAGCTACATCCTGTATATATTGGTTTCATTTTTAACCCTTAATTTAAAAGCCAGAGCTGTAAAGGCTAAAATGAAAGATCTCTTGAAATACCTGGAGATAAAGTGTCCTCCAAGCAATAACTGAGTAATTAACAGTGATGTAGAATTAAGGGTTTTGTAGCCAGACTTACCGACGCGAAGCCTGAATGTGTTGAAGGAGTGTCTGTTGATGCCATCCAGCTTGCCGATCAGAGCGATTGCGAACTCCACCATGTTTCCTATCTGTGCATTCTGCCTCTCACGGTCCTGAAAGCACACACAACAGAGCTCAGAGATACATAAATGATGTAGCTTGAAGGACACATTTATAAATGCAGAGTGAGCAGGGGTCAGAGAATAAAATGACTTGCATGGACAAAAGGAATTTTATTTTGGTTTAAAAATGTGCAGCCTCCAATTTTTATCACCTTATTCATCAAGTGCACCTCAGTCACAAATGCCTTAGAGTCTTGAAAAGACACTTTTCATTTTCCATTACAATGTAGTCAAGGTGAATATAAATCTTAAAGCACTATGTATTATTGAAATACTTTCAGCATGTTAACTTTGAAGCTGTAATTTAAAAAATAGTTTAACACCGTCTACATTCCAAACAAGAGCCGTGTAAAACACTAATTTCTAAGCCATATCACAAAAGTAGAGACAGATCTGTTATTCCATATTGTGATCAACAACACACTACCCTTGCAACTAAATTGAACATTTGAGTGAAACAGATTATCGGAAAGAAAAAATGCAGGACTTGTTTCTATCCATCAATTGCTGAGAACAGACTAAACGAAGCTCCAAATGTAGGTTTGGGAACTTGAGCTGAGCTTCGTAATCGAGGCCCCTTTATGGACAGACTTCAAATTACATTTAATGTGTGGCTTAATCAGAGTTATCTAAATTGAATTCACAATGTTTTGCAATTCATTTTTAATTAAAATGTATTTTTAAGTAATCCTAAAGCAAAGCCTCAGGATATGCGAATGCCACCATTACTGATTGGTGCATAGTGACATATGGCACATTTAAAATGCCTGCATTCCATTTAGAAGCAAATATGTGCGATAAAAGCTACTAAAGTATGACAGCAAAAGCTGACAAATTAACTTAAAACAAACAGTGGTAACAGTGGGCTACAATTAGTATGATAGAGAGCATCCATCTCTCTCTCTCTTTTATTAATTGAATATACAAGATACATGGTGTATTTTATGAATGCATTTGTGAGAGTTGTGGTTTAAATTAGCTTTGATTACATTTTTTGTAGACTACTTAACGTCGTGCAGTAAGTACCTGGCTGCTCTGCTCCGGAGGTCCACTCAGTCCTGCCGCAGCCATGTACGTGCTGCCGATGGTTTTAATCTTCTCCACACTGCTGAACTTGGGCTTAGACAGCAACTGCAGATAAATAAAAGAGGGAAGGGCAGAGTAGATGTCAATGTTTCCGAGCAGTAGAAATTCATGCCGAAATGTTATCTTACAATAAATGGCAGAGAGAGAGAACGGGAGGATAATAATAACTGAAAGAAACGGGACAGCAGCCATACCACACTGAAACTTAACACTAGTAATAAGTGAAGTAAGCCAAGCATGGACCTGTATTTAGATCCTAAACATGAAATCAGTCAAGCCAGGGCTTTGTTCGCAGCTCACAGAAATAAGCAGCTGAAGTGATGTGAGTGTACAACAATGGCTGCCTCATTTCATCAAACTACACGAATGATTACTTGGGTGACGCCCTTGGAAGCTCTTCAGATGTTGGCAGAGAAGCACTATTCATATACAATGATTCATCCAATCAATTAAGGGAATGAGAAGAGAAGAGAAGGGAAGGGAATGAGACGTGACATCACTCTGACCTCGTCAAAGTCGGCGATGATCTCATTGAGAAGCCTCAAACACTCCAGTCCTTCTTTATTGATGTCACACTCCGTGTAGAACTCTTTGAAGTCCGGCACAGAGGCAAACATCACACATACGCAGTCATATGACTTATAGTACAGGTCCTGGAGAAGAGGATCGGAAAGACACATGTGGCAAGAGTTCAATGATTCAGTGTAATTATTATTCACATGCCACAACAGAAACAACAACATGTTTTATGAAAGGATATTCACAGACTCACAGATGACATGAGGTTCAACTTATACCACACGTAACATGAATAAAATGTTCATCAAATAAACTGGGGATAAATAAAATCAAGGGAGGAACAAGACTAAATGTATTGAAATATGAATTGTTTCACAAATGAAAAATCTCCAAATAGACAGAAAGACCAAGGTTTTGTATCACAACTTTTTTTCAACACTGACAGTGACAAGAAATTTTTCTTGAGCAGCAAATCAGCATTTTAGAATGATTTCTGACACTGAAGACTGGAGTAATGGCTGCTGGAAATTCAGCTTTGCCACCACAGGAATAAATTACTTTTTCAAAATATATTAAAATAGAAAACAGTTATTATTTTAATTTGTAATAATATTTCACCATATCACTGTTTCAAATAAATTCAGCCTTGAGCAGTGGAGACTTTTTTAAAAACATAAAAAAAAAATCTTACTGACCAGCAGCTTGGACAAGCAGGGACAACTTAAAATAATTTCTGGACAGTGAGAATACGAAAAATGACCCAATCATTGCAGTACTAGACAATTGTAAAATTCAATTCTTAAAAAAAAAAAAATCTTTGAAAGAGTGCAGATCAGGGAGGAATAAAAATATATAAATATCTGTGAATATTTCAGGCCATTTTTTCGACCTAAAGTTTTGAATCTTTCTTAAATATGAAAAGGTAAATTATGGACTGTGGTTGAAAATGGTAGAGGGGTTAGCATAAAATACTGTGTAGGGTGACCTAGTATTCTTTGTATAGTCTACATTGTAATCAGACAGTAATGATTGGAACGGTATTTTATGATATGATCTTGTGTGGTAAATGGCAGTGTTTCCCAACCTTTTCATCTTGTGTTGTGCCACAGTCCAATCTGTACAAATGCCTCTTACAAATGCTAATTTTACACACATTATTTTGTTTTCTTTCCTTAAAAAGATCTGCAAAGCCATAACATTATTCATAAATAGTACTTTTTGTCTCTTTTTAAATATTCAACAAAGTAAAATCCAAATCTTTCCAAGTGACCTCTGGAACCGGCTCAGGTACCCCCGGTTGGGAAGCACTGTTGGGAATATGTCTGGTCTTGTATGGGAGACAGAAGCACATGATATACAGGTTCACCCAACTCACTGGAAGCTGGTTCCTACCTTGTACTTCTGGTTTAGTAAAGAGATAGTGGACAGCAGCCCCACCTCATTCTTTTTGTTCTCGCCCACGAAGAGAGCAGCCACGTGCGCAGGGAGAACATTTTCCAAAAGCAGACGGTTCAGGTTTTCGCACAGCTCGACTTCTTCCTTATCGGCCAGGTTCTTGTTCTTCAACAGGAAGTCTTGACGACAACAGCGCTCATTCTGAAGGGAAGAGAGAGTATAGAGCAAGGGTGGGTGAGACTTTCTCTGCTCAGTATTACTGTGTGTGTGTGTATGTGTGTAGCATGAGGTGTGTACCTGGTGGGATATGAGCAGCATGGTAAAGAGGAAGAGTGTGATGTAGATGAAGCTCATGATTTGTGGGTGCTTCATAATTCCTGCTTTGCACAGCCTCACACTGTCCTCGACACTACAACTGACAAACAATGGACATGATTTTAACAGAGAAGCACATAAATGAAAATCCTTGCCCACACAGATTATTATTAAAAACAATCTATTGTTTTAAATGTCCAGTATGAAACAAGTGTGTATTTATTTTGAGATTTGCTAATGATAACATGTAACAGTGCTCAAATATTAATAGAATAACTAAGTTGACAGCAAAAAACAGGGGTAATATAAGCATCTACAATTAAATATACATTTATGAAAGTGTTATGAAAAGTATAAGAAGTATAAGACACATGCATGCGTATTTGTGAGAGTGTACCAGCTGTGGTTGGCATAGAGCAGGCAGCTGTAGTTGCTGAAGAGATTCCCCTGGGAGTAGAAGATGATGATGTAGGAAATAGCTGAGACGATGAATAGGAAGACCACCTTCAGCTCCAAACTCACCCTCAAAAACACGCCACAGGCGATCAACGCCAATATACAATTATATACTGAGTACTGGAAAGACAAACCATACAGAAACTCCATTAATCATTTTTCTATTGTTTCTTTGGCAACAAGACAGCAGTTATAATACTCTCATAATATAACATCAGGGCTATGACACATACTTATTTATAAAGATGATAAAATAGTCAATTAAATCATGTAATAAATAATAATGTAAATCATTTTTAGTGTTATGATGTGGGTTTGGGTTAGTTGGTTGTATTTATATTAGCTGTATACAACAATAACAGAAGTTTAGGCCATTTGTCCATTTAGGCCATGTTTCCATTTAGATAAATTAAATAAAAGTGCTTGATACTCACAGGCAAATACGATAGGTCATCTTTGACAGAATCAGGAATGTTGCTGTTATTTTGTAGCCGAGTGACACATAAATTCTCCGGGTGACACTCCAAATACTGTGGAGTGAAAGACATTTTTTTAGGGGAAAAAAATGTCAACAGGTGGTACAGTACTTACAGTGAGCTTACCTAGAAAGAACTGGCTAATATAATATAAATACATGGGTTATGGGTAGGTTTGGGGTTAGTACCTAGTTATTACCCAGTAATTGTAAGTACTATAATCAGTACATAATATGTACATGGGTAACAGGACTGTAAAAGGAAGCGTTACCAACTCTTTTTGTAATGCTTCAGTGAAAACATATACCAACAATATTGTCTGAGGACCTAAGCATAAAAAGTCTAATTTCTGTTGTGTGTGCGTTTTTAGTGTATTACACAACATGAGACACTAAACTAAATAATGTATTTGTGACATTTATTGCCGTGACAGAAAGGCTGAGCATTACCAAGTTGAACATGGCGATGATGACTATGATTGCGGTGGCTACAGTTGCCAATGGGAGGCGCAGAAAAGGCCTCTTAACCACTGCTTCTGAAAGAGCCGAGAGCCACGTGCATGACTTCAGCTTCTCTGGAAACTGCCTCTGAGCAAGAAAAAGAAGGGAAAAACAGCTGTTCAAAAAGAAAGAAAGCTGATTTGACCTGAGCGAAAGCTCAAGGTTACTGAAGCCAGAGAGTGTTGGAAAAAAGCAACAGTGTATTTGAATGGCGACACTAGGAGTATTTCAGTTTGCAACATTGTAGCAACTGTTTTTAGTTCTTTTACATTCTAATATAATTCAGTGCCAACAATGGACACAGCATATGACATTCTCCACATCACAGCATTGTGCACAGCAAGGGAGGCAATGCATGCTCCAGCATCTACAAAACCACAAAAATACCCCAGAAACCGTCAGGCCAACTGAATGGGTGTGCTGTGGTGGTCTAACCTGTATATGACTCGCAAAACAGATGCACAGAATCAAAAGCAGAAAACACCCCAATACCACAAACGTCAGCCCCAGCTCTTTACGCCTAACAGAGAGAGAGAGAGAGAGACAAATAAAGATAGTTATATTTACTCTCAGGGCAAATGATTGTAGCACATGAAGACACACGTTCAGCACCAAAGTGTTAAATTGAGCCTGCATATGGGGTTCGCTTGAGTTCATGCCACTTACTGTTTGGTAACAAACATCTGGATGATGAAGATGCAGATAAAGATGAAGGTGGCACAACCAATGTAATATTTAAAGCTTGGCATCTCTATAGTCCTGTACTGAGAGAACCACATACACGCATTTGTTTAATTTCTTCATTTCTTTTTAACATGTAGACAACACCAGTGGCGTAGCGCAAATTCACAGGGCCCCTCTCTTTTTGTGTGTGTGTGTGGGGGGTGGTAATTTTAGCGTACTTGTTTATTTAGCTACTCATTTATTTAAAAATTGACTTGATTTTATCACAGGGAATGATGCGTGCAAAATCTGAATTTCTGTCCATAATTTTGCGAGTAGTTGTTGATGAAGGAAATTTTCGCACAAAATATTGGAAATATTTACATTTTAAACCATTAAGGCGAGTCAGTGGATATCACACGAGCAATGTGCAAACTTTGCTCTAGAGTTATGGCGGTGGAGAAGTCTCAAACCCTAGTCAATTATTCACTACAGAAAGCAAAAGTAAAAACATCTGACGATGAAAGCCGAATCATCAACCTGCTGATAATGGTAAAGGCCTATATAACTGTCTTAATTTTTATTTCTTAAAATTTCTCTTGTGGCACAGAAGTACTGAAAAAAAATTAGAAGAGAAGTATTTTGTTTTAAACAAGTTGTTTTTGAAATGAGGAGTAAACTAATTTAACTAATCTTTTATTTTCCTCACAGCTGTATGGGGTGATGCGCCATAAAATCATTGTGGAGAAACTGAATTGTAGCTAATAGCCTATTAATTCAACGTAATAATAATAGTAATAATTTATTATGCCTACATTAAATTGGAAATGTCAAATCCACTTTATAAGGCCGATAGCTGATGCTGATCATCTACTGATCATCGTCTATCGACACATCAGCGCATCCTGTCTATTAGCTGATTATCGTCTATCGGCACAAGGGCACAGGGGTTTTCGCAGGGCCCAACAAGTGGGGCACCCTCGCACTGCGTGCCCATCCGCCATGCCACTGGACAACACATGGCTAACACATACATTCCAGAAGTTACAGCCCTCAGGAAAACACTAACCTGCTTTTCAAGGTCTCGTTTAGTAAACCACAGCGTGAGGCCAGAGATCTCTTCAGACTTCACCCACTTTCTGGACACACACAAAATCTTTCTTCACTCGTTTTCATACGCATTAAATGTGCATCTTTAACCAAACTGAACTTAATTCCATTCGAAATTATTTAATGTGCTTGTTTATGTAAGACTAACTTGCTGGAGCTCAGATCATTGATGGTGGTGGTCATCTTGTCGTGAAGCTCTTCATCAAACTTAGTCTTCTGTGATTTATTCCTACAAGGACAATAGACACAGATCACAGAGACAAGAACTCACTTGGATTCATGAAGTAACACACAATGCACATGTCTAAATGTGCATGGGCACTGTGGGATAGAATAGATGTTTATAGCTGTTGTCATGCTGTTATTGAGTTATATTTGACTGCAGCCAGTACAAGGGAAGCTTGGATGAATATGTGTGAAGTTCATCGTTCTAAATGACTTGACTAGTTTTGTAGTTAATCTAAATCATTTGTTTAGTTAAGGGATCTAAATAGATAACAAGAGAGTTCTTGAAGTTTTGTTGAGAATTGAGTGTGTGTGTACCTGGTATTCCCATTACATTATGGGGACCAAATGTGCCCACAAGATTAATGCCAGTCAATTTTGACATTATGGGATTTTTTTGTCCCCATGAGGAAAAGAGCTTATAAATCATACAAAATGAAATGTTATGAAAATGTGATAATGCAGAAAGTTTTATGAGATGGGTATGTTTAGAGGGAGATTTAGTAGGTTAGTTTAGGTGGATAAAATATATAGTTTATGCAGTATAAAAAATCATTACATCTATGGGAAGTCCCAATAAAACATGAAAACCAGTGTGTGTGTGTGTTTATGTGTGAGAGCCGTGGCAGACAGAATGCCTTGTGTTAGTTTAAACCCTGACAGAGAGCCCCCTTGCAATGTGCCTCAGAACTTCTCAGAAAGGAAAATGCTGTTTCCTTTCTCTCTCTTTGCAAGCAGAAACACATGCTTGTCTAAACCAAAAGTGCACTGTAGGCTGGAAACACACCACTGAGGGAGTGCAGCTATGGTCATGCTAACCATATGACCAATTAACAGTGGCTCACTGAGCATTTGCATTGTTAGTGTTGAAACTACGGGCCCCATAGAGCTTGCTGAGCCAGTATGGCTCCACTCACTTATATGTGCACAAGGGAGGGTTGGGTAAAGAGTTGGGCTCCTCAAAAGACTCATCAAAACTGTCAGAGATCAACAGTGAGAAAGACAACTTCAACATCACTGCTTCAGTCAGCAAGGCAAAACCAGACTCGAAACAAACTAAAGTGGACATTTATAAAAAGCTTTTGAAAGGCCCTTAGGCCATAGACCTTGTTTTTTCCAACTGAGATACACTCAAGACAGACCAATATATGATGCAAACAACACTCACCTCTCTGTAATTTTGGTCGTTACTGATCTAAGAGGGATGTCCTAAAGAGAGAGACAAACGTGAACATCTGCTTTGCACCTCTGTGTGTAAATAATGTAGGAACTGACCTCACAACACCGATTACTTAACCATGGCCACTACTTTTGAAGGATTAAAGCATGTTTTGAAGCACAGGATTCAAGGATTAATAGTACAGTTTAACCATCGTAGAGTGAAATTGTATCATTTGGACATTTTTTTTGTCTTGCCAATTTATACATTCAAGCTATTGTAAACCATTCCAGCACAAGAAGAGACAAAAGAGAGCCGCACAAACCCAACGCACGCACACAGAGGTGCGTTTAGGATAGCTTCCGAACAACAAATTGATTCCTATTTCACGTCTTCTTGCACTTGAACGAATGTATATGCACAAAATTATGTCAAAATGCCTGCCTTGGTTAGTATTCACGTAAACACGGTCAGTTATACACATTCGGCACAGTTTTAAGTATACATTAATAGTTCAGAAAGAAATATGATGTGTATCATTGTATTGGATACGTGCATTCGGCCTTAAAGTGACAGCAGGATAAAATACCTGTTGCTGTTTGTCATTAATGTTAATCAAACAACAAAAGACAGCATTAACAAAGATGAATCTATATTTAATAGATTAAATCAGTGAACACTGTGCAGTATACTTACTTTGTTTGTAACTTTGTTATATTGTATTTGTTGGACTTGGACTCTATTTTAAGGTGTCATCGTTACAGTGTAATTGTACATTTAAGTACTAAGTAATATATTAAGCAACTACATGTACTGACTATAGTGTTAGGGTTAGGCATAGGCTTTGGTTGAGCGTTAGTTGCATGTAATTATGCATATTTTACTGTTATTCATACAACATATTTAACAAGGACACTGTAAAATAAAGTGCTACCTTGAATTCATCTATGCTTGTAATTAGTGTATTTGTTCTTCTTTTTTTTTTTAACTGATAACTAACTTTTTGCTAATCCAAAAAATGATCCGATCCATGAATCAAAAACCATAATATGATCTGAACTGTGAGTTTTGTCATCTGTTGCACCACAAATAAGTAACTGTAAAGTTTTTGTATCAGGTTATGTTGCACTAAATATAATGATGAGAAAATGACAAGGAAATCTATCCAAATGTCAAAAAGTAAGACAGTTGATGTCATAAATATTGACATTAACGTACAGGAGTAGTGTGCTGCTTTCTGCAGATGCAAACAGGGGTGGTCATTTAAAATGGGCAAGTTTCTACATCTGCAACGCATCTACAACAGACACGAACGACGTGGTGCGACAAAAGAACCCATTATAATCAGTGATGTTGTCTACACTGGATGCGCCGTTTCGTGACATGACAAATCCCCAAAAGTAAACCGATGCCTCGTTCTATTTATGACGTGCTTCAAGCACTCGTGATACTTCTTACAGGAAGAGCAAATGGATTTGCTTTGTCACGTCCAGCGTTACAGTGTGATGCAACTCCTAAACAGTCATGTCCAGTGTAGACACGATGTAAGCTTAATGGTCAAACTGTTGTTGATAACAACAAGGCTTATCAGCACAACGTTTTGTTTGGTATTTAGGCTGTCAGTCATTTATCTGTTGTGAGGTCAATTCTCATTTTTGAGTGATCTATTCCGTTAACGTCTGCATCTCTGACCTTGCAGCGACCCTTTCCATTGACCATAGCATCTGTGCAGAATTCTTCTCGGCTCTGCAGATGGGCAAACGGTTTGACGGCCCCCCATGACTCCAGGAAGCGCGTCATACGCACAGATGCTCTCATCTTCAAACCATCACTCACACGAGGCTTAGTGACACTGGGGGCCATCAGTGATGGATCTTTTGACTAAACACACAAACATAAACAACACACCAACATATTCAGATTCATATACATTAACATATATATGGCAGACAGACATACACTTGTAATGTTTGAGTTAAAGTCTCTACCCGAGGGTCTATGACCAAATAAGTCTTGATGTTGAGCTCTTTAAGGTAGGGGTCTCTCAAGTGACCATTCCCCTCCTCCACCCCATACGCTTTGTTCAAGTGCTTCAGAGTCGCCTCTGTGATGTGAACTCGTCTGATGGAGGAAAAATAAGTAGCATCTTATGAAGAAGGCCTGAGGTATGACATAACGATACAGACAGTATTCTGTGTGCAACTTGTTATCAATTATCATTTGATAAGTGATTTTATTGTTCATACCCTGGTAATCCACCTGACTCCATATGATTTGCTAAGGTGACATCATGGGACCACACATCAAACTGCCACTTCCGTAAGCCAATCACACCACAGAGGACGTTTCCAGAGTGTACACCTACTCGCATGTTAATATCCACACCTGTTGCCTCACGCACCTGCCTGCAAGTGACGATTAGAAAAATAATCAGCCATTCATCTGTCAAATGTCTTGGCCAGTGCTAGAAAGAAACACTATAAGGATAAATGCTGTGCTAATGATGATGTGAACGTATATTTACATATTGTATAAACATATAGACTTACTTGATGGCTTCGCACATGTCCAGGCCCATTTTAACACAGTTTTTGGCATGATTTGGCAGGGAAACGGGGAGGCCAGACACACAGTAATAACAGTCACCAAGAATTTTTATTCGCATGCACTCATTCTCCTAAAGGGGAAAAAACACAAGCACAAGGACAACTATTATGTACAATTCAGAGCACAAGTATCTAATTTACCAATTTATCAATTAAATGTTTATTTAAGAACCAAACTGGTTGATAATCAGATTGAATTATATTAAATGAAATGATATTATGTTCTATACAGTATATATTAAGTTATACACTGTGCCATTCTAAAATTTGAGGTCAGTTAATTTTTTTTAAAGAAATTAATACTTTTATTTGTTGCAATTTATTTGACAGTAAGTGCACTTTCAATGTACTTAAAGTGTACTTACCAAGAAAGTACTGAATAATATAAGGTAAATGTACAGTTTAAGATTAGGTTTAGGGGTAGATTCAGGACTAGTACCCAGTTATTACCCAGTTTTTGGTAATTACTAAGTATACAGTATGTACATGCGAAACAGGACTGTAACAAAGTGCTAACTTTTTAGTTAGCAAGGATGCCTTAAGTTGATAAAAAGTGACAGTACATATATTTATAATGTTACAAAGGATTTCTATTTAAAAAACAAAAACAAAGTTTTTTCTTAACGGTGCATTGTGTAATAATTAGGAGGATCTGTTGACAGAAATGCAATATCATATACATAACTATGTTTACAGTGGCATATAACGACCTTACATATTGAACCGTTATGTTTTAATTACCTTAGAATTAGCCATTTCTATCTACATACACCGCTGGTCTCCTTACATTGAAATGCACCAGCATGTTTCTACAGTAGCGTTAAACAGACAAACGCATTTTGTTACTATGTTATTCTTCAAGCAAAAAAGCTAGCTAAAGTGAGCGAATAAAACACTGACACAGTGTTGAACAAGTAACAATAATATTCACAATAACATATCATTTTACTGAATAATCAAGTAAACCTAATTTCTTAATTTATTTTTGTAAAGAAACCTCATTGTTTAACTGGCTACTCTCTGCTGTCTCAGATGACGATTTCTTTTCCTGCCGGCCACCGTAACTTCTGTTGGTTGCAATATGCAATCTCACCACTAAATGCCACTAAAAATTACACAGTGCACCTTTAACGAATAGTGAAAAAATGTACCACAGTTTTTACAAAAATATCAAGCAGCAAACTGTTTTCAACATTAATAATAAAAATACAAAAACTGCACCAAATCAGTATATTAGAATACATTTTGAAGGATCATGTGACACACTTAGGACTTGAGTAATGATGAAAATTCAGCTTTGCCATCACAGGAATAAATTATATTTTAAAATATATATATATTCAATAAATATATTCAAATATAAAACACATGTTTTAAAACAAATCATATTTCACAGTATTACAGTTGTACAGCATTTTGATCAAATAAATGCAGCATTTGTGAGCATGAGAGCATAATTATATTATACTATAGACATATTTAATCATACTTACTTTTGCAATCTGGTCAAATTTCCCAAAAAGTTCATTCAGCATGATCACAAGCTCCTTAGGAGAACAGTCACTGGCCAGACGTGTGAAACCCACAATGTCAGCATATAGGATGCTAACAGAAAACAAGGGGAAGACAAAAAAGAGACAATCTTAATGTCACCAATTATATTCAGTTTAGCTTAAGTTTCATTTTCATGGACTCTTATTATGTTTCTCTGTTGCTGTCTGCCTTTGTTTCTGTGTACATGTCATTCAGCAGTCATAGTTATTCTTTATGTTCCTATTTATCAGCACACCTGTTTGTACAGTATTTGAGTTCGTCACCTTGTGTATTTAAGTTATTCTGTTTGTGCTTACATGCTGTGTCTCATCTATGTGTATTATCTGAGTTAATATGAGTTTTAATAAAAAAAAAAAAACGCTTCTATTTGAAACTTGATGTGACTTGTGCCGAGTCCTTTTTAATGACGAGAAAAGCAGCAGCTCAGTGTCAGCTGTCTGAACGCCCTGAAAAGAATAAATACTTGGCTCATGGAAATGAACCGTTAAGACCCAGCTGTTCTCAATGCTGACTTCAAGACCAAACACACACACACAGTCCATGTCATCACACTCCTAATGAACAAGTTCAAAAAGAGAGTGGACCACATAAATCTCGGCAGGTGAACAGCTCCCTATTGTTTGCTCACACACAGGTGAGTCAATCTCTGTTTTCTCTGAGCAGCTGTAAGCCGTCCGTCTATCTAAATATAAACGGCTGCCTGAGAACTAAGCATTGTGAGCTTGGACAAAAACATATTAATAGATGCCTGTCCACTCTTGGGGTTGATGGGAAATAAAACTAATTAAATGAGTGGCCTCATGATGAGCACTCTGAGAGTTAGGTCTAACAGACTGACCATTCATTTACCATCAGGACTTGATTAATGAGGAATTGCAAAATTATTGAATGCAAAAACAGAGCAATACACAAATGCCTCTTGTATGAACTGTAGGACAGCATTGATGAGTAAAAGCACATGATGTGTTACCTGACATTCTCATGTCTCTTCACGTAGAGACTGTGGAAGTTGTTGTCCCGGACCATACGCTGCTGTTCCTCTTTATCTTTACACTTGCAGCGCTCCATTATGGCCAACTTCATCTTCATGGAGATGTACACAGGAAGGACTGACTGCAAAAGGTTTTCCTACAGCACAAACACACACACATTTAAAGATAACACCCGTAATATGTCATACATTGAGTTTACTGTTAAAGTCTGTTTCATTTCTATTTTTAATCTCAAGTGTCCTAATCTTTTTCAGTTGTTTGACTGTAACAGATTAAGTGTCACCAGGCTGAGATCTGAATCTGAACTATGGGAAGGTAATGGGAAACTGTATCATTCAGAAGAAAAAAAGCATTGTCTTTAATGTGTATTGCAAGGTTACTATTACCCTGTGTTCTATGTTGTCTTTAGGGTTCATCATTAGGACATTGTTCCTGAGTTTTATTTTAATCTCCATATGCTGCCAGGGAGGTTAACAGCCTGCCATTAAACTTTACCCAGCTTTTCAGTGTTCTCTTTATGTGATGTCACTTCCTCAACAACAGTCATAACAAACTGAGGAACAATATATCCTTTGATTGTAAAAGGACACAAGAAGTTTAATTAAGAACAGGATAAACCTATTCCAGGATAAACTTATACCTCCTTGATTACATTTTTAATGTGCAAAATATAACCTTCAGCTGTCAAATTTGAAGATGAATGAAAAAGGTTAGTTCACACAAAAATGAAATTACTGTCATCATTTACTCACCCCCATGTTGTTCCAAAAGAAAGAATTTCATTCATCTTGAGAACACAAATGAAGATACTTTAATAAAATCTGAGAGATTTCTGTCCCTCCATTGACAGCCAAGCAACTGACACTTTGGCACTTCAAAAAGTTCATAAAGAGATCGTAAACGTACTCGATATTAATTGAGAGGTTTAGTCCAAAGAGACTTGATCGCTTTATATGATTTCTATATAAAAATTATATACATTATTTACATACAAATATTCATTAGCAAACTTAAACAGAAGCTCAATCGAACCTGCTAGACGCATGAAAAACTCACATCATTGGTTCTTGTGGAACAAATCTTAGGGATTTGAAACGACATGAGGGCGAATAAATGATGACAGTATTTTCATTTTTTGGTGAACTACCCTTTTGAATAAAATCAATGTTTTTCAAGAGAAAATTCCCAAAGTTAATATTAAAAGTTTGAAATTAAATAAATAAAAAAGTGGAGGTTAAGCCTAATGTAGACTAAATATCTGTGCAGAATTAAGAGAAATTCAAAGTTTGAAGTATCTCATTCTTGCATAGTTCAATTACTTGGTAAGTTGGAAGAGAGATTTGTATATTGAAAGCTGTGGTTGCTATAGTGTTACTAAGCAATGGCCAAGGTGTTTTGAGTGGTTGTTGAACCGAAAATATGTTTTACGCTCAGCTTACACAAGCGCCTTGATTTTTTGTTTTTTGCACTTATTATTTGGTCCACAAGCTTCCAACACTGGCTGGGCCATTTTTTACAGATAAACAGTTGAGATGGAACAACAAACAAACAACTACTGGACAAGGCAATAACAGCAGACACCCAAGTTGATGAGCGTTTGGTTGAGGGGGTTAATAGGAGATACCAGGCCAGCAACTCTCTTTTAAAGAAGTACAAAAACATAACTTGTGGAGAAAAATAACGCTAACACTGGGCAAAGATGAAACTTTCTTGCAAGCATATGTTGACCGCCTGTAAAAACGAGGCATAAATTGTATCAAGATATCATGGGTGATGTGTATTTGAACATAATTTGTATTTCTTCTATGTGTTTGTTCTGACTGTGTCTGTGATGTTGAGGTAAAGTTTATGAGCACCTGCTGCCTCTTCTCAATCTCCAGTTTCATGCGAATGCCGAGGCATCGAATAGTGTCCTGAAATGTCTGCCTGAGAGCTTTCTCCATCAGAATATTATGAAAAGCCCCAACCACACTTCCACAAATAAACACCACAAAATTTGACAGCAACTAGAGAGAGAGAGAGAGAGAGAGAGAGAGGTTGAGGTGTTATATCCTTTTCAGCTTCTTTACATAGAGATTTTCTGAAGGTTTCCTTTAAACCAATCCTATTGTGGATTTCCTTTTACCTGATTGGTGATGAGGTGTTTGGGGGGGAAACTGAACACTGTGAGGTGCACCGAAAGAACAATGATGTGAGACAGAGAGGAGATGATACTCAGGGTTACAGCATAGCTCATCTGAAATGGCAGCATGGTGTAGACTGTAATGATGATGAAGAGGAAGAAGGGAACCTGGAGAGAACAAGATGAAGAGTGCAACATCAACATTTATTTAAGACTGACCATTATTCAATTACCGATTTATATGATTTAATACATGACAGTGAACAAATAAGAAAGTTCTTGCTGTGAAAAGTACTCTTGTCATGTGAAGTCTCTGTAAAATATTATAGCTAGAGTGTTACCTGGTCCCATGGTTGTATTTCTACTTTGTTTTCTGTGCTGAAAATAAAGGTGAAGCCCATTGTGAGGTGTGTGGCCCACACGGCGAGACCAAGCAAAGTTCTCCATCTTTGAGAGAGAGTGTCTGTATACACTAATATAAACACAGCCAGGAACAAACAAAATGCTCCTCCCACAACTCCCACAAATACACCATGGTCCCGTGCATTCTGAAACACAAACACACATGGAGAAAGCAAGGTGTTAAGGGGAAAAACACATATCACATAAGACAGCTCATTTTAAAAGGGTTACGGAAAAGCAGTGTGTTTGTGGGAGTGGGTGTGTGAGCTGCAGTGCACAAGCTTCCAAAAAATAAGTAAATCTGTTCAAAAGAAATTACTGACTCTCTCTCTCTAGAACAAAAAGTAAAACTTGCAGTTTTTCTTAAAAACATTAGTTTTGCACATTAGTTGTCATGGAGTCATTAAGGGACTATTGCTTCCCACTCTATTCCTTCTTTCTTATCCCCTAAAGGCAGAAAAACACATATATAAATAAACAGGAGCCAAAAATCCTGATTTAAAGCTCCAGAGATCACTTAAATCCATCCGTCACAGAGCTAACACCAGTTTAAAACCAGACACCATCTGAGTGAGCAATAATAGCTGAAACACAAATTTGATGTTTGCATATTCCAGACAGGCTGTGCATTTGTGGTGGGGATGTTTTAGTTACACTTTCGGTAGATTACATGATTACGTCAATAGACTAGATAGCGGCATGTGACTGTCTTAATCGTTTGAATCCTGCAATCAACCAATTCATTCAAACACATTGATTCATTCAGGAATGAAACAAATTACTTATGACTGAGGCATTTAATCATCCACTTAGCAAATTCATTCTAAAACACTTTAGCCCTGTTTACACGAGTGTGTTTTCGTTTTAAAATGCATAACTTTTGCTAAGGTTGCCTGAGATACGGTTTTGTGTGGATATATATAATGACTTCAGATTCAAAAGGCTCTAAGTCCGTCTAAAGTTTTTGTTTAATTTTAACATTTTTATCAGGCTCCTATGTGTTTCTACCCAAGTCCCAGCATTTCTGAATGGGCTGAGGCTAGGTTTTATTGAGGTTGAAATTAAAGTATTTGATGAGCGTATACTATGTGCTGAGAGCATTTACTCAATATCATTATCAAATTTTGGACAGAGGTGGCTTTTAGAGGCTTTTGCATCGGAGGTCTTCATATATATCCACAAAAAATTAAGCAGTTTTCAACATTGATAATAAGAAATGTTTTTGTTTGTTTTTTTTAGCACAAAATCAGCAGATTAGACTGATTTCTGAAGGATCATGTCACACAGCAGCAATGACACTGGAGTGTAATTGACAACAGTATTTTTTTTGACTGTTTTACTAAAGTTTTTACTGTATTTTTGATTAAATAAATGCAGCCTTAGTGAGAATTTTTAAAAAACTCTTATAAACTCCAACATTGCATATATTGAGTTGTATTATTAAAATGACACTATCAGACTACAAGTCACTACCTGTGTGGGCAAATCGCAGCGCTAGATCGACCCAGCCACTTATCCGCCCACCAATATAGACTCTCACTGCAGTGAGTCCTCCACTCATGTTCACCCATTTGATTCAACCACTCTGAATTACCACTGAGATACTTAACTTTCAAACAGAACAGAAATACATACCTCAGTCCACAAGCATTCAGAAACTCACACACCCACAGATACTGCCAACATCCCATGGGCTTTGTGAAGGGTTAAATAAATAGTAAAACAAAATACACACACATGCCCACACACAGAGAGCAACACTGGTTGTAATTCTGTTCCTCCCACGGCCGGTTGGTGTAGAGAGAGGAGGTTACAGAAGTTTGCACAGATGGTATAGTGCTTATCTGCTAAAGAGATGAACAACAGCAGTGCAAAAGGAGCGTTCACGGCCCCTCTTCACATCCAGCTGACTCCAGAGAAAGTATATGTGATAATGTGCCAAAGAAACCGAAGAGAGAGACTATCATACAATGTGCTACATATTCCCCACATAAAAGCAGCAATTCTAAATGACTTGGCACAAACTGGCAATTAAGACAATTAAAACACACAATTTCCTGTCACGGATAATGCCAGTTCATCTGCATTGTGATAATCAGGCCTCAAATTACGCAACTACTGAGAATCAGCACCTAAGTCGCCGCAGGATTATGTAAGCGAGGCTGCTTCAATTATCAGATACCGTCTGAACAACAAGGACAAACCTGATCCAGAAAGAAAAGCAATGCATGTTGAATACTGACTTAGCTGTGTACGAGTGGGCATTTGACTTTAGAGAAAGGTTCGAGGGCTACCATCCTGCAGAGTTTAGCTCCAACCCTAATCAAACACGCCTGATCCAGCTAATCAAGGTGTCCATGGTATAAAAAGGAAAGTGTGTTGGAGCAGGGTTGGAAAGTCAGCAGTCTGCAGGAAGGTAGCCCTCCAGGACCGGGGTTGGCAGAGTGGAAGAATGTATACCAGGGGTAGGCAAGTTCGGTCCTAGAGAGCCAATGTCCTTTAGCAATAGAGTTTAGCAATAACACACCTGAACAAGTTAATCAGTGTCTTCAGGATTACTAAGGCCTTGTCCTGGATAAATTAGTGTGGACTGTCAAAACTGAGGTATTTAAAAACGATGACGTAAGTTTAGTCATGTGACGCATATTGTTACCATATGTTTATACCGGTATTGTGCTTGTTATGTGTTATTCACTTTCACACTGTTGCTAAAATATGTTAATTTGTACACTCTTCTCATCACAGTCCAGCAAGATGACCGAAAATGTACTCACATTTACTGTCCTGTGGAAATACATGAGAGAAGTTGTGTTTTAGACCAAACATATGGTGACTGATTGCGACCTGGACGCATCAGTGAATAGTGAGATATTTTGGTAAATATAACTATCCTGTTAGAAGAATTGTGCGTTAACTTTATTATTTATCTTTCTGTCTGTAGCATTGCAGTGAGCTTTTGTGAGGTTTTACGCATGCGCAGTAAGGTGAAGTAAGTGTTTTCAGGCATTTTTCTCATGCAAGTTTCTCATCCTCACTAGTGTGGGTGGAGTGTCTTTAAAGGGTTAGTTCACCCAAAAATGAAAATTAAGTCATTAATTACTCACCCCCATGCTGTACCAACCCCATAAGACCTTCGTTCGTCTTCGGAACACAAATGAAGATATTTTTGATTAAATTTGAGAGCTCTATAACTACCACATTGGCTCCTAAAGGACTGCCTCTTGACGGCCCAGAAAGTCAATGAAGAAAATGTTTAAATATCCCAAGTGACTACCGTGGCTAAACTATATGTTTATCAAGCGACGCGAATACTTTTTGTGCGAAAAAACAAACAAAAATAACGAGTTTATTCGACTATTTCTTTTCTTCCTTGTAGGCCAGAACGAGACTTCCTTAGATTTCCACGACGCATGCGCGAGATTTGCGATCTGCTCACACCAGCTTACACCACTTCAGATCGCAATTCTCGCGCATGCGTCGTGGAAATCTATAAGGAAGTCTCGTTCTGGCCTACAAGGAAGAAAAGAAATAGTCGAATAAACTCGTTATTTTTGTTTGTTTTTTCGCACAAAAAGTATTCGCGTCGCTTGATAAACATATAGTTTAGCCACGGTAGTCACTTGGGATATTTAAACATTTTCTTCATTGACTTTCTGGGCCGTCAAGAGGCAGTCCTTTAGGAGCCAACGTGGTAGTTATACAGCTCTCAAATTTAATCAAAAATATCTTCATTTGTGTTCCGAAGACGAACGAAGGTCTTACGGGGTTGGTACAGCATGGGGGTGAGTAATTAATGACTTAATTTTCATTTTTGGGTGAACTAACCCTTTAAATGAAAATGCCATTTTTTTTAAATGTATCCAGATCAATGTATACGTAGCCTTAGGCTATAGGCAGGTGAGGTTTTTTCAGAGTTGGAGCCAAACTCTGCAGGTAATGGCTCTGTAAGACCAAACTTGCCTACCCCTGGTGTATACTGTATGAGTGCATTTGCATTAATGTGGCATCTCACCAGTTGCAGGCTGAAGAAGAGCACTAGCAGTGAGACACAAGTGAGCATGCTCAGTCCCAGCAACAGAACGAATGGCTGGTATTGGCTAATGCCAGAAAATTTCCTGTACAGTGCTTCCTGTTTCAACTTCTGCTCATTCAGCAAGTACTTCCCTTTTGCTGGCATACTGACCAACGGCAGTGCAGAGGCTGAAAAATACTGGCCAATCAGAGCAGAGCGATGAGATGCCACAGAAAAACACCTCCTCCCATCCAGCAGAGTGCGGCTATGCTGAAATTCCCATAGAAACCACGTGAGAGCATGTAGGAGGTCATTCCAGTGCAGAACACTTCAGCTCTACCCTCCACAGCACCATTCTGTGCATGTCCTTTATGATCCTTCTTTTTGTACTTTTCCCGTCACTCTGGTGCCTCCTGATCCTGTTGGAGATGGTTTCAGGGTCCCTCTGTGTGTTTAAGTTGGATGAAAGCCGATGCAATGCAATTACGGATTCTCCCAGAGTCCAAAAATTCCTGTCACACACAGAAGAAAATAGAGAGAGTAATTTGTTAGTTACGTATACTACAATGTTTACACAAATATAACATCTACTAGTCATTCTTACTAACTTGAAAGCAAATAAACATTGAAATTAAGGAGCTTTTCATTTGGAAAAGAACTTGAGTTTGTTTCAAAAGCTCAAGTTTAGAGAGCACACTTTCAGGTCAACTCTTTTGATCTCTGTAAACACTGCTGTGTTTAGTCATTCCCACACTAGCGGCTCTCTGTGCCTGTGAAAATGCTTTTGGGTAGAGTTCAACATTTGTGTGGATTCAGTTCTCTCTTCATTACTGAGCCTATAGCAGATGGCTGCTGTGCTTTCCATGGCATCCTCGGCCAAACCCCAGCTACACTTAGACTGAGACGAGCCGAGCTTTACAAAGAAAAACTCTGGATACAGATTATGTGAACTCTATCCTCAGTCAGTGTAGGCAGTTGTTTAATGCTTTTACATGGTACACTATTTTATGCTGACAATAAAGAAATTATATCTTAATATTAAAATAGACACTTCATATTTCTGAAAGCGAAAAGCAACACAATTTTGTCAGCAAAGCACAGCAATTAGGTAAAATACATACTACAAGCTACATTTGTTTTAAAAGTAATTAATACTTTTTTTTTTAGCAATTTTGAATTCAATTAATTAAAAGTGACAGTAAAGAAATTTATGAAGAGTTCAGATGCAAAAGCCTCTAAGTGCCATTTGAAATTTTCTTCTAAAATGATCATTTTTATCAAGCTTGTATATTTAAGTTCAGTAATTTCACTTAAATGGCAATGAAGATTACCTATAAATTGTCATTTAAGTGAAATTACTGAACTTAAATATACAAGCTTGATAAAAATTGTCATTTTAGAAGAAAAATTCAAATGGCATTTAGAGGCTCTTGCATCTGAACTCTTCGTATAATATTACAAAAGATTTCCATTTCAAATAATTGCTAATTTTTGTTAACTTCATATCAATAAAAGAATCCTAACAAAAAATCATTCCAGTTTCCATAAAAATATAGCAGCTGTTTTCAACAAAAAAACAAGAAATAATAGGAAATGAGCAGCAAATTAACACATTAGACTGATTTCTGAAGGATCATGAGACACTGAATACTGGAGTAATGATGCTGAAAATTCAGCTTTCGTCACAGGAATATATTACATTTTAAAATATGTATAAACATAAAACAGTTATATTTAATTGTATTTATATTTCACAATATTACAGTTTATATTGCAATTATTATCAAATAAGCCTTGGTGAGCATAAGAGACTAGTGAAAAATAGATACACTAGTTGACCTCCTTTATCGACTATTTGGTTGTTGGACATATCAGTTTATCGTCGTCATCATCATGACCCATCCCTGATCTGAATGTGCCGGAAACAATCTGCATCACTACATCCTCATTCAGGTGGAGGAAACAGTCCGGAGAGGAAAAAAAAAAAATCAGGAGAGTCTTTGTAAATAAGCTGCATCCAAAGGTCATGATTTCTCATTGCAGGTGATTATTGTTTGAGGAGGGCAACCAAACGATCATGAAAGCGTAAGCAACAGCTTCACATCTGAATGCACACACACCATGAAACACACTAAACCATCAAGAGAGTTTCAAATATTGCTAAACCTGCTGTGCTGACGTATTGCTGACAACATTGATCACCGATAATAGCCCTGAAAAATACATAAATTCTAATTTCCTGTAAACTCATTGAATTAAAGAAGCATTAGAAATACCCTCTAACACTATTAAAAAAGATGAAAGTCAAAGAACAGAAGCACAGAAAACAGCAGAGAGAGAGAGAGAGAGAGAGAGAGAGAGAGAGATTTGTTTACTGATTAATTTATTAATTATTTGTTCATTGCCTATGTAATGGCAGTACTGTATAAGTCATGCCAATAAAGCTCATTTGAATTTGAGAGAGAGAGAGAGAGAGAGAGAGAGAGAGAGAGAGAGAGAGAGAGAGAGAGAGAGAGAGAGAGAAGAGAGAGAGAGAGAGAGAGAGAGAGAGAGAGAGAGAGAGAGAGATGGAGAGCTGGGATGCTCTACGATTTTCTCTTTGTTGAGGGTCATTAAAGACCTGAATGACATGACCGTGTCACTCTCTCACTCTCCCAGACAAATGCACCCAAGCCAACAAGTGGCCTTTATATTCCCAAACTAAAGTTACCATGGCAAAGGAACAATCCAACTGGGCAATAACCGAAAGAAAGACAGAGAGAGGGTGGGAGAGACAGAAGGAATGAGAGTGAATAGTCTCTCCATGCAGAAAAAGGGAGGGTCAAATCCTCCTGGCTGCTGCTGAAGATCCTGCAGAGCACAGTGAAGAGTGGTGAAACTCTGAACCTACACAATGATCTGATGCTTAACATGACGCAAGCACAGCACAGGGTTCCTACAGATGCTGTCAAATTCAATTCCTGGACTTTCAAGTACTTTTCAAGCACTAGGCTACTTGTTCAAGGACTACAATCAGAGATCGCACTTATCAAACAATATCTTTATCTTACAAATTCAAATTAAAAAAGGTAAATGGATGAATAAGGTTTTTGAACCATTGTGTTTTATTAGTATACCCTTATTCATCCATTTACCTTTTTTAATTCATTTTTAATTCAGCGCATGCAAAATTGGCAACGACTGTGGGAAAATTAGCAAAGCCTTGAACTTTCATTGCATAGAAGAGCAAATAGAAATTTGGCATAAACTCAATGTATGTTTCTTATTAATGGATGAAATAACATAAGAAAATGAATCACTTCATTGTAAATAATTGCAAAGTAATTACATTACAATCTAATCTAACTGCAATCCAACCTTTTAAAGGGGTGGCTGCTTATGATTTCACTTTTCTAACCTTAATTAGTGTGTAATGTTGCTGTTTTGAGCATAAACAACATCTGCAAAGTTACAATGCTCAGCGTTTAAAGAAAAGGGAGACATTGTAGAAATCGTTTTTTAAGGATTACAAACGGCTGGTAGGGACTACACAAGCTTCCTCCCGGGTTAGTAACATCACTAACCCTAACATTAACATAAACCCCACCTCCGCAAGCACACAGTCCATGTTGAGTTGTAGTCAAGCGCATTTGAGAGTCAGCTCATAGCATCCGTCTTTTCACATGCAATACAAAGTCACTCTGTGTGCAACTCACAACAGTTCCTATACAAGCGATTTAGATTATCCTGACAGAATATGCAACTTTAAGATAGTTAACTCCACATCAGCAACATAAATTCATCAATTAACCATTCGGAGATGCATTCTACATGTTGTCACTTCTTATTAGTCTCTCCATCCTTGTCTGACTCTAGTTTAAACATAAAAGTCAGAACAGTTTCTGACATTTTAGCATGTGTCTGCGTGAGGTAATCAGAGCTGCTAACTCAAACACTCTTGAAGCTCCGCCCACTGTCCCTGGAGCTCCAGCTCATTTGCCTTTAAAGGGCCAGACACAAAACGGTGCTTTTTTGCTAACCCTCAAAAATTGTCAACTTTTTACATGCTATATAAAAATATCTGTGGGGCATTTTGAGCTAAAACTTCCCATACACACTCCTGGGACATCAGCAATATATTTTACATCTTATGAAAAGGGCATTTTACCACCCCTTTAAAGGATAGTTTGTTGTTGTTCTACTCAAATTACAGATATAAGGTACAAAATACAACAACTTACAAACATTCTTGAAAAAAAAACTGATTAATTCTGGAACAAAGCAAAGTTGTAAAAAACGTTAATTATTTGAACACCTTATAAGGCACAACTGACAAGCAAAGCAGCCCCTGAAAGGATACTTTGACAGATATTTCTTCATTCAAACTGAACCCTTATGAATTTATGATTGACCTGAAGAATAACAGCTGTATTATATACTTGGAAATGAGCAATATCACATGCATAGCCATGAGGCATGGTAATGGTAAAAAAAAAAAATAAAAAAAAAATTAAACACTATTGTCTTTTCCATAAATATGACTGTTTTCAAGTGTTTTCCATGACTCAAATTCAAGTACTTCATATAAGTCAGTGATATAGTAAGATTTCACGACACTAATGCATGCTACTCAACACTATTAACAATACAGGCATTCATTTCATCAAGGAAGCAATTACATTCATCTCACCTAAACATGACTGGTTGATATATATATATATTTTTTACATGTTCATTATGTCATACATAGATTACACGTGTAGAAAATATTTACAATCTCTTATGTTGTTAATAGTCAGATGCATATTGCATTATTAAAAAATACTGAGATTTCAATCACTTCTCGTATCATGCAATGCTGAATTCTCTCACCCATCACTCACGTCTTTCCAAACCTATATGACAAAACATATTTTGAATAATGAACAGATACTGTTTTGCAGGTGGACTGGAGATTGTGACACTCTCACACTCATCTTTCATTTGTGCTTCTGTGGAAAAACATGTGATGGAGCGAAGAGAAGAAGGGCAAGGGGAAGTGCATGCGTGTCCAAATCTGAGCAATTTAAATGTGAATTTTCAAGAGCCCCATGTGATGTGAGAGATGTGTTGTCCATGGTCAAACTTAGGACAGTGGCCTTCCAACAAATAAAAGCCCTGTTCTCAGCCTTAATCCAGCAAACCAGTTAGAAAATGTACTATTTACACTCCTCATCCTATATTTTTCATTTCCTTTTTTGTTGTCCATTCCATCACCAACTGTACGGCTGCATCATCCACTGATTTTTATTTTATAATGCTGAAATTATGACAGTATGCCGATTATTAGGGTTACAGTGACTGTGATATGATTTTAATGGATTCATCTGTAATGTTTATGGAAATGCAAAGAGCAAACGTTAGGCCCATGATTATCTTCTAGTAGGTGCTTGCACCAATGACACCATATGCATAAGATGAGCAAAGCAAACAAGACGAGTTCCCAGTTAAGATTTCCATTAATTCTGGAAAATAGTTTTTAAACAATGTCTCTTAACGTGTTCACACAAACGAAGATCTGCTGCAAAGAGACAGCAATTCTGACGCCTGTACCAAACTGTAATGGGCAACGACGAGAAAAACAGATATAATTCAGCATTCCGATGACATCATGTCCTGTTTTTGGTTTGTTTAGATGTCTTTGGTCCATGTTGTGTTCATAATTCAAGCAGACTTGACTTAAAATTGAAATGCATAAATATTAGGTTTATCCAGCCCGTTCTCATCCTTTAACGTCACATAGAACGCTATATGCAAAAACGGCGCTATACTACGCACATGGCACCCTTTATCGTTAATATAACACGCGAACCCAAGACGTTATAAATCCTTTAGCGTGAATATGACACGCACACCCTACCCCACACCTAAACTTAGCCCTCACAGCGCGTGTTATATTAACGATAACGGGTGCCATGTGCGTAGTATAGCGCCGTTTTGTCATATAGCGTTCTATATGACGTTAAAGGATGAGAATGCGTTGGTTTATCACATCGCATATTGTCATTATTATACTACAGGGGTTGGACAATGAAACTGAAACACTGGCCAATGTTGGAGGTTTCACATCTATATGCCTGGTGGCCAATCTTCAGAGTGAAGCACGACTGGATCAGTGATGGTTTGAGCTCCAATATCATGACAATCCTGATGCTGTATTTGGATGCAAAATGAGGCCCTCACCATACTAATAAATTATTGTGTTGTAAAACCAGGTGTTTCAGTTTCATTGTCCAACCCCTGTAATTGTTAACTGTTTTGTATTCTTCAAAAAAAAAATCAAATGTAATTTATTGCTGTACTGGCAAAGATACATTTTGTACATACATGTATATATATAAATGGAAGTGTAAGCATTGCGCTAGTAGATCACAGAACAAACCATCTGAAGAAGCTAGTTTTGTTGTGAGGAATCATACACTGTGGCTATTGCAATAGACTAATTAAATGTTTACTGCTTATTATTTAGACTTCAGATTATTATCTGCTTCTTCACACATGATAACTGATTTAGTAGCAAGGTGCCTCCATTTCATATGTTTACCTTTGCAATCTGTCATTTATTGTCATAGCTGTGCAACTATTGACTTTTATCTTTTACAACTTGCTTAAGTAATTATTTAATCAATTTGTAACATATCTGTCAAGAAAATATAAATGTAGGTCAGACTATGAGTTCATCACACTGAGTTACTAAAATTGAGGGCAACAATGTTTGTAATAGTAACAACAACAATATTAATAATAACGTGTTGTATTGAGTAAGCAAGTCCACTTAAACAACTGTGTCTTTGTGCCACAGGTACTACTTGCCTCAAAGTGAATATATCCCCACATATGCAGCATATTGAATTAGCCCTGATGAGGAAGACTTAGATGACATTGGGTTGGGGGGTGATTTGATTAGTCAGATGCTATCCGAGACTGGTTTGGTTAATCACTGCTGCTGTTTGTAGTGTACACAGGAAGTGGAGACTGTCAAAGGCACATCCTCAACTTGGGCACTGTAAATGAATTCTGTCTCACGCTGAAATTCCTCTCTCTGTTCTTCTCTCATCATTAGACCCATCTTAACAGTATGACAACCCTGTGTTCCGCTTCAAAGTGGAGCTGGGCAGGATATTGAGACATGAGACATGCTGTATATTAAGAGCTTCAACTAACACACAAGCATGCAGTTTAAAGCGGCTTGCCTTCCTATCAGATGTGTGTGGTTTAATGCATTTGAGACCTGTTTTTTCTCAGCACATGGCTTACATCACAGCAGTATGCTTATATGTAAATGTTAGAAATTCACACATTTCCATTTTGCATAAAGGCTTGTCTTGCCAACAAGCGAATGTCCATTATAGTAATAATACAATATTTGTCTTAAATTAGAAAAGTATCTAAAAATACTGAGGTGTGATTTTTGTTGATGTCATGAGGGCACTATGGTCAACAGAGCAGAAACTATATTAAAGGCACTCTATGCAAGATCTGTACCTTAATATAACAGCTTCAAAGTCGTTTTGGTGGTTAACAAAGTGATAGTAGGGCGAATCATCCTGGTAGGAAAGCTTGGGGGGGACGCCGCCGGAAAAACCAGCCATGCAAGTTTGAGAGTGGCGCCCCTGACACAGCGCGTGAGAATCACGAAATGGTTTACGGCAACGACGTCACACGCATCAACAACATCATACTGTATGAAGCTACTTTCGAAAAAGGGAAAGAGAATCGGACCGTGCTAGAAACCGGACAAGAGTTCACTCGGTCGGGCTTTCACTCGTTGGCGCGAGCTTAAAAGCTGCACTGGATTGTAACTGCGATGCTGACCTGGCGATCTTGTTGATGGACTTGTAAGTAAATCTCTTATTTATAAACTTGTTTGTATTTGTATACTTGTTTCTATATTGTATGTTGCTGCACTGGCTTGTGGTATGTAATTTTTTACGGTGCTGTTCATTCATCCGTTGTTGATAATAAGACCAGTTCAATAATTCTCACATGTCTATAGCTTTCGATTACCAGAGCTTTAAGCAGACTTCCTAAAAACAGTCGTTTCTCTTAGTCTTGTTGTTTTTTTCGTTATGTTTTATTGCCGAGCTTGCCACAAGAGCTAGTTTGCCAGCTGAACTCAGGTGTTGTGATGTGTATTTATCACGTATCTTTAGTCCTGTGTCTGGTTCGGATTTCTTATGACGTGTGTAAGTTACTGTTATATCAAGTTTATCTGACTAACAGTACACTTCCCGACTGTAACTTCAAATTGTGTTGATTATGAATCAATCAAATCTTGACGCTGTTGATGTTGATTCTTGCGATTACCATAGTCAATATCTCACATAATTATTAGGACATGCCTAGAGGTTGTAAATAATTGAACACAATTTGCTATTATGATAAATTGTAATCATGTCTAAATCATAACGTCCAATGTTATGAAATAATGCGACGTACATTTAACTTGATTGATGTCATCTGACATTTTGTAATGTTTAGGCTACATTACAATCAAAAAACATGAATGAAATTATACAGTAGCCTATACACTATAGGCTATTTACTTCTGATTTTGCAGAAATCATGTAAAAACGCTATAAGCCAGCAAACGCGATAGGCAACTTTATTATTAAAAAGCAGTCTAGCACTTGACAGTAGTTCAGTAGATATGCAGTAACAGGGGAATAACGGTTATTTACGACAGTGCAAGTACACCACAGCGGCTCTAGAGGTCACTGTTTTACAAAAAAACCAGAGAGTGCATAGTGTGCCTTTAAACAACATCTATCCGACATCAGTCTTAACTCGTGTTCCTGACTCATAGTGAAAGGTCAACAAATCTGTGGTGCACCTGACAGTAAATACACAAGCATAATAAAAGTTCGTTTTCAGTAGAAAGCAATAATTTGACTCATGAAATCTCATGAAAACACTGATCTGACTGAAATCGTAAATCTTATGCTTGGATACCGTGCAATATAAATACAAAAACATCAAACAGAGATTTTGAGACTTTTAGAGATTTGTTTACCCACCTTATTTTCAACCTACTGTAACAGCAGGCACAGCCATTTAGAAGTCTTGAATGTGCAAAACCTCCAGTGTCATCTGCTTCCAGCTACTTTAGCTGTGCAAAGACAGTCCGTTATGCTGCCTGATTTCACATATTATTTTAATTCAATCATTAACACATTGGTTTGTAACACAAATAGTTTTAACATTTACAGCAGTTTGTTATTCTTAGTTACTTGTCTATAGTGGCTTTTGAATCGGAAGTCTCGCACAGTCACAGAAAATAGCTTACTTCCACGTTGCTAAATAAGGTGGATAGAGACTGTGACTTGCAAAACTACAAGCAAAGTTCTTCCGGATCTGCATTTAAAGTGAACGTCTGGTGTGGGTTTTATAACTGGACTGCAGGGTCAGCTAGTTAATAAATCTAAGGATTCACACACTTTTTCCACCCTGCACTGTGAATGTTTACACAGTGTGTTCAATAAAAACATGAAAATGTATCATTGTTTATGACGTGCTATTTGTTTCAGCAGACTGTGTCTATAACATCTCAAATGCCAAGCAATATTCAGCTTAATCAGAACTTACATAAATGCACTGTCCTGACAAAACTGACTGAACTCTACTGAGTTTGTAGAGTGTGTTCTGGAAAGTAACAATATACTGCAGTTCCCTTTTATTACTGTTTACACAACAGAGTGTGTCACACGAACCACACGAGGGGCATAGGGTCTACGTCATTTTATGGTGACTTTACAGAATTGTACGGTATACTAATTTCAATCAAGAGATCAACTCTGCCTCATCTCTCTTTGTGTTCTCTCTCTCTCTCTGGACTCACAGATGAGGTGTGGTAAATGGCTCCCTGCAGAGTGAAAGGGTCTTTTTGAATAAAAGATATTCCATCATCACTCTCATAAAGAGACATCACTGTTATCTTTCGGAAACTCAGACAATAGCAACCCTGCCGTGAAACGACAAGGTCAAGCTACAAAGGAATCCTGGTAGTGTTGCTGTGGGTGGAAACGTAGTGTGAGTGTGAGTTTGAGAACGACCACAACTTTGCATTCACGTATAGCAGCGGCTCCCAATTGGGCACGTAAGTTGACACAAGCAAAATGTTTTGCCACTCATTTAATTCCACCCTACCTTAAAATAACATTAACATCGAGAATTTATTTCTGACTGCATCCAGAAGCATCATGATAGGTTGCGTACAGACTATGCTGCCTTGGCTTTCTTCTGTGCATAAATAGGTTCACCTATGTGCCGTGGCCCGTGATATATTACTTTATCTCATTAATATTAATTTACTTCACATTTTCACACACAACTACCCCTAGATATATTTGGAACACTGTCTGTTTTATTTAACTAACCAACAGTTTGTCTGATGTGTGGCAATGCTGAGTGATGCACTACAAATATTAAACATGATTTCAATACAAATAAAATATAGTTAAACCATGGTAAGCACAAATTGGCCATGGTTTTTGCTAAATACAGTTTAACCATGCCTTCTTCGATTTTAAAATTACCTGATGATAAATAAAATGCAGCTCATATATCTGTTGCTTAAGCTGCCGTGAACTGACGTTAAATTTGCATATAGTGTGGGAACTGAAGATCGCAATTATATTCCTTTTACGTAGACACATTTTTGTGGGCAAGTGTAAATGGAACCGTTTTAACAAATCAGATAACTATCCAATCAGTAAAAACGCATGAAATGACCAGGCGTAAATGAGAGGCGTCTCACACACCCAAAAAGCACGCGAGTGCCGAATTGTGTTCTCTTTCAACCCTTCTTGCAATTAATTGGGATACACTTTTGATTCCCAGCCCTACATTCAATGCATATTTTTCAAAGATCAATGTCCCATAAATAGAAGCTGTCTTATAGAAAAGCAAATTAGCCTCAGCTTGCTATTAGACTTGAATTTGTACTTAAATCCATTTCCTGTGGATCAGTCTACAAAACAGACCTAGGCTCAATGAAACTATTATATTCAATGACTACGCCTGATGTCACAGAAAGATAAGACTGTATTTCCTGGGAGCACACAAGGATCATATAAATGTTTGATGTTGCAGTAGGTGGCAAAATAGTCGATTTCAGCATATTGCCTTATCAGGATGGAGTGTTATAACTCTCACATTAAGTGTTGCCAATCTTTTCACAGCATCACATTTCATCCCACGAGTTAAATTAGCTTAGGAATAAAGACACAGTAGAGCAGCCACAAATGCAATAAACAAGAAACATATGATGCTAACATAAATGGGAAACAACTGACTATAACGTTTAAAATGACCTAATGTGGCTTCACCTCAAGCAAATCTGCTCTCAGCAGAATACAATAGCTTATATATAAACATATAAATCACAAACATTTGTTACATAGACCATATTTATTTGCTCTATGTAACAAATGACCATAATAAAGTTTATTTTATTTTACATGTTCATTTCCCTTATTTTTGACATTTAGATAGCAATCATCTAATGCTCACTTAAATTTAATCTTTACAAACACTAACAATTTAACAACACTGTTAAACGTAATACTTAGCATACCAAAAAATCTATTTATTTATTTAATTATTTATTTTACCATTTATTTACCAAAAATAAAAGTTTCATAGTTGGAAATTGGACATGTATCCAAAACCGCCTCTCAAGTCATTTTTACGAGTGAAAAACTCAAACTCACACTATCGAGTTGTGGCATTGGAATGGGTGTGTCGATGCAAAGCATAGTGGAAACACTGACCTATATTATATAATCTATAAATATAAATCAGTGAGAAAAAAAAAAAACAAGTCTGTAGCTACTGGTGTTAATCACTCAACTTTCCCGATTTGTTTCACATTTAGTTGTGTGGTACCATTTATAGGTTGTAGAAATAATAAATAGTTTGTTTTTCCTTTTTAATTCAGCTATCTGGGTTTATTGTTCAGATTCAGACAATAATTCTTTTGTTTTGTGAAGACTACCTCCCTGACATGTTATCTTTCAGATGACTTGAATGCGTGATGACAGAGACTGCTGAAAGTATCTGCACACCCAACCATGCAGGTCAGACTAGTGAATTACAAATAAACATTCACTCTCTGCAGAATATCATTAGCTGGGGCGATGTGATGTTTAGTTCAGGTAAATGTTGCACAGGAGGGCATTATTATCCTCCATCTGAGGTTAGAGTCAGTGCACCCAACCATTCCACACCTCCAATATCTGATTACTGCGCATGTAATTACATGTGATGTAACTACCGGCGATCTGGTCTTTCTCTTTCATTAGGAGCCGCCATCAGGACTAAATGGCTGACTCATCTCACTGTCTGTCTTTCTACATGTTGATTTTCATTTCTGCTTCCTAAATATCCTCAGATAGATTCTCAAGGTCTGAGCTTAATGTTCTCTTATGAGAGCTTCTCTCGTATTGCCTAAGTTTAGCTTACGCTACGGGTAAAGTTATCTTTTCTCAAGATATTGAAGCCAAAAATTATCCTTAATTTTGCATTCTTTGTTAACGCAGTGCAGCAGCTAGCAGACCTAAAGCAGGCTCATTGGCTGCTCTGCGGAAACTGCAGCAGCCTACCACTGCGGCTGCGTGACGTCACCTCCAATGGTCACTACGCGTCACAGCCTGCCAAGGGTGCTTACACTTACTAATGAAAACTTTGGCTCCGGCGCCACTCACTCGCTACAAACCTCTCAGAAAATGTCCCCCATTCAAGGTAACCGGGGCGTCACATATAAAACAGTGTGTCATTGCTGTCAGCCGCCGTATTTGAGCACTCATTACGGTCAGGCTGCGAATGTACAGTATGTCACGAGCTCGCTCTTGAGCACTCGTGCTTCCTGTCAATCACTCTGCCTAAAATGCCACCCGCGCTTCAAAAAGCTATCAAAAAACGCTCCCCATTCAGTTTAATCGGGCCATTACATATGAAACAGCCGAAAGCGGCTGGCAGCGAGCCGATTTGTTCAAGCACCGAAGGCGCGTGCGCCATGCCCACATCTCCAGTTCAGTTCCCTAAGCCCACATTGTGAGGCGATCGGGACCCGGAGACAATTCTCCACTTGGCACATGCAAAAGCATGGGAAGCAATTCCGGGGGATTCAGAGTGGGTGCTGAGCATAATAAGACAGGGCTATGCACTACAGTTCGCTCGCCGTCCCCCACGTTTCTTAGCACGGACTGAGTCGACAGTGAAAGCGGAAGTAGCACATCTACCCGCACAGAAATAGCCAAACTGCTGTGCAAAGGGGCCATAGAACCGGTACCGTCTTCTCTGAGCAAGTCTGGCTTTTACAGCCGTTATTTTCTCGTACCCAAGAGGGACAGAGGTCTGAGACCTATCTTAGATCTGAGACTTTTGAACAAAGCTCTCATGAGAAGACCGTTCAAAATGATTACCAGCAGACAAATTCTCATGCAAATTCGCCCGAGGGACTGGTTTATCTCTCGATCTGAAAGACACTTATTTTCAGATTCAGATTATACCTCGTCACAGGGCACTCTTGAGATTCGCCTTCGACGGCCAGGTATATCAGTTCACTGTCCTCCCGTTCGGCGTGTACCTAGCTGTTCACAAAGTGCATGGAGGTGGCTCTCGCCCCCTTGAGAAATCAGGGCGTGCAAATTCTGAAGTATTTGGACAATTGGCTGATTTTAGTACAGTCAGAGAAAGAACTTATATCTCACAGAACTATGCTCCTCAGACATTTGGAAAGCTTGGGTCTCACGGTCAACTGGACCAAGAGGTCATTACTGCCCAGCCAGTCAATTTCCTTTAGAATTGGACTCTGTGGCTACGAAGGCTTTTTCCAGAAGGTCACAAGCGATTTTTGCTTCAGATGATGAAACCAGGGAAGCAGCCTCCGAGCCGTGCTTTTATATGCTAAGCCACACCCACTTGGCCGGCTGTGATGTATACTGTAGTGGGTGCGATGCGCCCCTACTGGGCATGACGTCACACCAGGCTCAGTGGTAGGCTGCTGCAGTAGCCAATGGGCGCACTAGACAGCCTGCGCTAGGTCTGCTAGCTGCTGCACTGTGTTGACAAAGAATGCAATTAAGGATAATTTATGGCTCTAGAAAGAACCGAGATTACGCTAGAAAACCAAGTACGTTGTTCTATGTCCGTTTAACAGGGCTCCTGATTCTAGGGATAAGCAAAACAATTTTTTTTTTTTTTTCAAAATAGACTTATCTGTGGGTTGCCTGAATACTTGTCA